AAGCCCAGCATCTAATTGTGGTGTAATGAAAATTCCCAAATCCTGTTGACGTCTTGCTTCAAAATGTCAGGAGACAAAGAATGAAGACAGGAAGTTAGGCAAGCAAAGGACAGAGCTATTTTTAAACACTTTACTTGAAGTGTTTGCCTCTGTGTGAACGTTATGTATTATCCTGTACCTATGAAGATTTGCAGGTGTGTGTCCCCTCAACCAGCTGATATCACAGTCCATCTGTGAGACTTTAATTAAGAAGCAGGACTAAGATATTCCCCCACAGACTTGTATACTTTTAATTAGCTGTGTGTATGTGTGTGTGTGGACTGTACAGCGTTAATTTAGTCCACCAGCCTCTAGTGCATATCAGTCTGCTACTGTCTTTAATAGAGCTCTGCTGATGAGATGGGAAATGTCAGAGATGCCTTTGTTATTGTTTCCAGCGGGGCATTTTGCCAAGGAAATGCTGTGGCTACATGTTGAGCAGAATGAGAGCCCAGGAAACACCCCTTCCTTCTTTCAACTTTTACTTGAACAACCTGCCTTTAAGCTATTCATTTATTATGTAGGGATCATGTTGGTTTGTAAGCAGTTATCATTTGAGGAATCAGGATTGCCAACTGGGTTGCTGGATTGAAAAAAAAAAAGAAGGTATTTTCTTATTGACAGTGCTCAGAGGGCAGCAGGTGGAATGCTCTTAATCTTTTGACCCCCTTTATTTGTAGCATCTATTATGTCCTAGCTTGGTAGGCTATACAGTGGCATTGTTACTCTATTTGTAATAAACTGGTTTATTCAACGACTGAGCTGTCAGGAGCACAAAACATGACGTCTTTTGTTATCCTCACTGTGCTGGCAGTATGTCTTTGTAGCATCCCTGTCAGTTTGTTGCATTGTCAGAGCTGGAAAAGATATGAACAGTCCTGAAATGTCAGGTATGATCAGTAATTCAGTGAATCTTTCTGAACTTAAAACAGCACAGAATAATATTCCTCTTATTTGTAAACATTTGCTTCACCTTTATTGGAAAGAAAATGCTTTTCCTGAGTCGAGTTTTCCAGACAGACTGAATGTGTTGCTATGACACATCACAGCCAGGAGGGGGCAGTGTCGCTCTAATTTCAAAGTATGGCGTAGAACCATTTTAATCAGTTTCATTTATTTGTTTGTTATTTGAGGGGAAAAGGTTCACCTCCATGGAGCACTCTGAAGCCCCAAAAGAAAAATAATGTTAGACAAGCTATACCCAATTACATTGCCAGATTTTTTCACTGAATTTAGAATTTACAAAACACTTGATTTCCTGTCCAAGCGTAGCTTGCACTCAGGCAAATACCTATAATCTGCAGTAATTTACTGGCTTAGTAGAATATACGTATTTTTTATTATTGTGCTGAATATCTGTTGATTTATTTCAGCATCTAGGTAAGTCCCCACACTTACAGTAAGGCAGAAGATATTTTTGTATTTATGTAATTAAAAACAACAACAAAACTGAAAACTCCCTCTAATAATGCCACCTAACTAGCCTGAACAAAATAGCACAATTCCCCAGAGGAAATGATATTTGGACTTTAGCTGACAGTAAAAATTATGATGTTGGACTCATCATGAACACAGCCACTTTGTTTTACAGGTTTGCTGTGTGGAAAGGCATTTAGTTTAGTAAGGACACAGTAATGATCACAGTGTCACAGCAGAAGATTTAAGTAAATACTGGAGTTACCGCTGCTGTGCTACATGTGTGAATTGCTCACAGTTTCTCATTCAGTGTGGCGACACAAAGAGAAGAAGTTATATTTCACATTTGATTGGTCAGACACTATTTGACAGGGATTGTTTCAGGTCAGAAGTGGGAGAGGTGCTGACGCTGTGAAGGAAACAGAGCTGAGCTCCGACAGGGTGCCATTTGGATGTCAGGAGGCTCCAAGCCCAATTTAACTGCTGCTGACACTGCTAAATTTGTCTACCGATTTCCGACAGCAGGAAAGCTGCACATTGTGAAACTGTTCTTTTTTAATATTGGATAACATATTTTTTGTGAAAAATTACTACCAGGGGAGCATAACAGGAAGCCTTATATGGCAATTTTAGGGTCATCAATTATACTAATAATGACATTTCATGGCCTCATGAGCAGGCAGTTCTCATCAGGCTGCCACAAGGTTTTTAGGTTTGTTGCTGTCCTTTGGTAAATCTGACGTCAGAGCACACCCCTCAGAAAAAAATAATTTCTAGTTATGGAGAAAATACCAGTATTACCTGTATATCCTCACACACTGACAAAGTTTGAATCATGTTTGTAACAATAAACATAGTTTATCACATTCAGTCATTGCTTTGTGTATTTGACTGGCAGATGCAGGTGGAGGTGGATGGTCTGGCAGATCGGGTGGAGATGGCCAACAATGCTTTGAAGGGAGACTGGTCCCACTGGCAAAACAGCATGAGAACTGACCTCAAATCAGCCTTTATTTCCACCGCTGAGAAGAATGTGGAGTACTATGAGAAGGTGAGCACAAGATTCAGACAAAGGAAAAGTTTTATAGATTAAATATTATATGGGAAATTAAAACTCTTAAAATATTTCAGTCAGTATAAAATAGATTAATTTAGTATAGAAAGATATAATCAGTCCAGTGCTCACACACATGGGCCACCCTATAAATCCAACAGCCAGTTGCTACAGCCCTAAAATTAAAGGGGTATTGCCACATTACCATATTCCTATAATGTTTCCATAGAGGCATTAACCAGCAACCCGGGATTTAGACATTGAGAAAAGCACAATGGAGCGAGCTGTTAGGTGAAAAATGAGTCAGGGAAGACGTTGTGGAACCACACGTTTTGTCCGTTAAAGGTTTTGTTAGCATCTAAGCACACAGTTAGGACAAATATTTTCTATTTGCATTGAATGTATTTTGGATTTCTGCCAGCAGAGGGTAGGAGTGCTTTAGATGTACAGTATTTCTCCTCTCAGATATGTAGCCTCAACAGGGGTTGTCAGCGTTTATAATTTGCTACTTTTCAAAAACACTAATTAGACATGCACTCGGTGGATATGAGCATGTGCTTATGTTCTTCTGTTGAATAGCTCCTGTGCAGGGCTGTAAGGTTTTCCTCAACATACTGCAGCTTTTAAAGCTTTTGGTTGTCAACGTGGCAGCTATGGAAACAAAAAGGGCAGTTAGGGTTAGAATCTCAGTACAGTTAAACACTACTCAGTATTTAATATTAAAACCATTTAATTCATAACACTGACATTTCAAAAACTGAAGGTGTGGAAGTGGGGACAGAGATTATGATAAAAATAAAAGATATTGGATTGATTCTAAAAACTCAAGTCAACTCATAGTCACTCAAACTGGATTAATAAAATTAAGTGTCTGGCTGCAACTAACTATCACACCTTAAATATCAGTAATCATTGATTCATCATTTAATTGTCTGGTTTAAAGAATGGCTTGAAATAGTTTCCACCATAATTTTACAGATCTCAGTGTAATATACTCAAATGACTTATTTTGCTAACAGTTCAAAAGCCAAAGGTGTTTAGCTTACTATCACACCAGACCAGGAAAACATGCAAATGTTGATCTTTAAGATGAATATTCTCTACATGAATTTGAAATGTGTCAAAACCTGGCTCAGAGAATGTGACAAAGACTGAGGCCACACGCAGGCTAGAATAACCCAAGCATGAATTTGTTAAAACTAACAACACAAAACAAAAGAATGTGATGCTAGGTGGATGTCAGCTGTAAGGGAAGGTGAGAGAACCAATCAGCACTTGGTCCAGCTCCCATAGCCAGGAAGACCCAAGTGAAGTACATCAGCTAATGAGCCTTCCATATGAGCCAGTCCTACCGAAGCTGGCTGGGTTGATCTCCAAGACAGTGGGAGGGATGTCACAAATTTGTGCTTGTTGTTAGAAGGTTAGATGTTTTTAATACAAAGTGCTCAACTTGTTGTCCATTTTGATAATGCTAGGTTGAACTGACCGTTAGTTAATCCTCAGTGTCCAGTAATAACTTTGCAAAGCAGTACTAGGCAGTGCAGGACTGTCGAGCTTTGGGGTTCTCCACATACTGAAGCTGTCTGCACTGACCTGTAGTACGAGCGCTCCCCCGTATACAAAGAGTTTAAAGCATCATGGCACTTTTTTGTCTTTCAAAAACCAGAAACTCAAGTATGTAAAAATTAATCAGACGATTTGCTGTACATGTATATAGCCAGACGGTGTTCATTATTCAAATTTAATTTGGTAACAGTTAAGACAAATTAACTATGTACACTAAATTTTTTTTGAGATTTGTAGACTTTGAGGTTGAGACCGACCATCTCCTTGCCACCTGTTTCCTCTTCTCTTTGTGTGTATGTGTGTGCAAAGGCAACAACAAAGCAGCAAACTTTAGAGGGAACTATTTAGGTACATTTGTGTATTCAGTATATCAGTAAGGACTCGGATCAGGGCCACAAAACCTGATCAGGACATCCTAAGTTAAAATTTAGGATGCCATGGCGAATTACGTGGTGTTACTTCCAAGGTGTTCACATTAGCTGATTTTATTATTGAGGTTACAAATAAATAAAGGGAGTTTACATTCAACCCCCAACCAAACAAATATAACCCATGAAAAGTTTAGATTTTATTGAATGCTTATCCACATATGTTTTTTGCAGTCATGTTAAATTAAAATAACACTACATTTTTCTATATTGCTTTTTTAAGTAGCTTATTTAGATTAGTCTCTAGAATACCAGCTAGCTTTCTTGTTCACCAGTCATTTAGGTTGGCAAAATAAGTTATGTTGACCATGTGTCACAGATGGATAGTAAAATTGAGCAAATGTCACATAAAGACTAAAACCTACAATGAACAGCTGTAATGGCTGTAAATCCAGCGTATGGTTTACTTTGTCTGCATAGTTGACTCTTACTTTGGAGACTGTAAAAAGGTGAATGTGGTTCCTAGCCTTTGGAGCTTTTTTTTGTTTTTGAGAAAAGATGTCACCTTCTGCAGCTGTGTGTCTTGCTGGTGTATTTTTGATAGTTTTTCAACACCAGTGAGGGGCTCCAGCACAGCCAAATAAGCTAAACCTGCACAACAAACCAACTGCATTTAATTTAATTTAACTTAATTTAATATGCATTCAGTCCCAAGCCCGGATAAATAGAGAGGGTTGTGTCAGGAAGGGCATCCGGCGTAAAAACGTGCCAAGTTAACTCATGCGAATCGGATTCGCTGTGGCAATCCCTAACGGGAACAGCCGAAAGTAGAGTAGTAGTTGTTAATATGCATTCAACACTCTTGATGGTTTCCAGACATTCCATATCATCCTGACAAGCAAACAGTAACTCTTAGTGTCCTACTGAGAGTGATCCCAAAGGGTTAGATCACTAGTTGTTGCTATCTTTTGTTATTGATATTCAGGTGCAGATGTAGGCTTGTGCAGCCTTGTGAATGATTTATTGGAATGGAGCACTGAGGGCAGCCTATAAGAATCTAATAAGACACCTGCACCTGGGAGGGTTTTATACCACCTAGGTCTAGGTGTGGGAAGTAGAGGGGGAGGCTGAATGAGAGTGGATGGGGTGATCAAGGAAAGCATAAATGTGAAGAAAGGACACAAAGAGCACAAAGAAGTGAGTGGATGAGGAGTGTTGGTGAGGGTGGAGCAGGAAGAGAGAGACTTGAAGACAAAGAGCAAAAGGAAGAAACAGGATGGAAAGTAAGAGGATCTCAATATAGAAATTAGAGCACTGAACTCAAATAGTGTATTTGATTAGTGCACAATGTGAACTTGTGTTGAAATGTCCATCAAACATTCATGTTCCAGTTTGCCAAATATGAGGATCAGGAACATTGTGATGGGCATTTTTTTCATATTTTATGTCACATTAATCTTTCTAGGACTAATCAAGAATCTCATCATCTCATATACTGCTTAATCCCCTAATCAAGAATAATAATCAAAATATCAGTGAATAATGAAAATGTTACGTGCAGCACTTCTGTCAACATAGAACTTTAGTCATGACATTTTGAGTGATTTAGACATTTTTCAACACTTGAACACCACCAAATCATCATTGTCAAGTCCTTCCATATGACTTTTATGCCCCATTAGGTGTCATGTGGATGGCAAGACTAACTTACCCATACATTAGATGACCACTTTTTTTTGTTGTTGTTGCTTTGACTCTGTGCAACAGATCAATAGATACAAAATAAAACAATGACAGCAATGGTATTAGCCATCTCCCTCAATGCATCTATCTTAAACATGAAACATTTTAATCAGATTACCCTGACAGTGACTTCTAACCAGTTTGTCATTTGGTACTAGTACATGGCAAGGCAGCTTTATTTATACAACACATTTCAAACACAGTGGCAATTAGTTCCAAGTGGTTTACACAGGCAAAGAAAAAAACATTAAAAGCAATCAGCATTAAAAACCACAATAAAATCAGTTAAGAAAAAATAAAGATAAAACATTGTTAAAATGAAAATAATAACAAATAAAGATAAAAGATCAGAAATACAACTATAGTGCCAAACTAAGTTATAGAACCCTGCTGGGTTTGTGGTCTTCAAGGAGATCAGAAATGTACTTTGGCCCTACAACACTGAGTGATTTCTAAACTAGCAGTAGCACTTTAAAATCAATTCTGTAGGTAACTGGTAGCCAGTGTAAGGATTTAAGATCAAGAGTGATGTGCTCAGTTTCCTGGTTCTTGTTAAAACTCTAGCGGTAGCAACTGAGTAAGCTGAACTTGCCCAATAGCTTTTTTGAGAAGACCAGACAAAAGACCGTTACAGTTGTCCAGCCTGCCTGAGATGAAGGCATGCATTAGTTTCTCTAAATCCTGTCTGGACATGAGACCTCTTGGTCCTTGCTATTTGTTTGAGATGAAAAGCTGATTTACTTATGGCCTTGATGTGACTGGTGAAGCTCAGGTCTGAGTCAAGATTTCTAGCTTGAGTTTTTGTCCTTATAGCTCTGGAATTAAGCTGGGCAATAACTTCTATTTTTTTCTGTCTTGCCAGAAGCAGTAATTTCTACCTTGTCTCTATTTTTTTAAGAAAATATAAGTTGCATACAGGTAGCAGAGAGAGTGTGTAGAGTCTGAATAACAGTGCTCTAAGAATTGAACCCTATGGAACTTCATATGCCAAGGTGTTTAACTCATATTTTTGAAGACCAATGGGAAACAAACCCTGCTTTTGAGATTTTTCCTGAAACAACTGAGGACATCCACTTTGTCTTTTTCAAGAAGTAGCAAAGGCTGCAGTGAGACAGCACTTGAACCAACTGCACTGCTACAGTATGAACAGCTTCAATCAAAACACTGAAAGCATCACACAGAACAGTATCTCAGTGTGACCTCTATTTACATACATACTGTCAGTGCGTGTTAGTTATTAACTATGGTTAGTGTTTCTGTAGTGACTGAAAGAATGAGATTGCTTAGCCAGTTTCTGAGTTTCAGACTGACAGAGTGGCAGGGACAGCTGGAAGGATCTCGGAAACCAACTACTCCTTGGTGTTGAAAGGAGAGAGTTAAAGTGGTTCAGCAATGGATCAGGTGCCTTCTGGACTCCTCAATGTTGGGGTAATCAGAGCACATCCAGCTGCGAGGAGACTCCAGTGCAGATATTTGTCTGTTCTAGGATATAAGGGATACATTGCATACATTGCTGCCAGTGAAAAACTTGACTAGTATGTTGATGATACTATTATAGAACCATAGTAGGAGGTAATACTGTCACGCATGGAAAAGAGACTACTTCAGCAGTTAACTATGTGAGGATGTGACAAACCTGCTCACTGTTCAAGAACCTTTTCCTCTGTATTGTAATAGGTTATAATTGTAATAATAACCCTCTGCCGCTGTAACATATCAGTATACACTGACTGGTAGAAATACATGTTCAACAGTATATATTAGGCTTAAGCCATGCTGTGGTTAGATTGCTGTGTGTGTGCTCATAGCAGAATGAGCATGCAGTGTTATTAGCACGTCTTCACGCAGTTTTCATCGCAGTTCTGTCTCCTGCACAGTCTGCATATTGTATTTAGTAGCAGGAGAGAAGTGACAGTCCATCATTAACATCACAAATATTCAACACATATGACTAAACATTGCAGCACAGCCTGTCAGGTGGATGTTCAACACACTCTGTTAAAATGTGTGTTTATTGGAAATAAAGCTGGCATTAAGGATCGACTGAGTTTAACAGATGCCCATATATCCACATGTGATCAAGGAACATCAGCTTCTGCCTGATAAATTAAGTCAAAATTCAAAACCGAGCCAACCAAATAGAAAAACACACTTGACATCAGACGTGTCTTCAAACATAAGCTCAGATCTGTTGGGGTAGAATATGAATATAAAGTAAGAGGCCCTACAGATGAATGACCTAAGTACTGTATGTGTCTTTGCTCTGTGGTTTCCTGGCCTTGTTAACCCCAGCCTTCAGGTGTCTCCAGACCCCTGACTCTGCCCTGCATCTCGTCCTACATCCACTGCACCTGTCTACACTTACCTGATTAGCTCCCTCAGAATATATACTGGGCTTGCTCCTTCGTTCGTGGCCAGATTGTCTGTTGTGTTTGTGCTTCTCAGCCTCAGCATTCTTGCCAGGTGTTCCTGTTTTCCCTGAGTTTGGTTTTTATTCACTTGTGTTTGGAATCTATTTTTGTACTCTCCTTTCTCATCTTCTCTCTTGGATTTATTGCTTGGCTCAGATTCTCTTTTGCATGTCTTCGACCTCCACCTGGGTACTGACTCACTCTCTGGTTTTCTGTTGTCTGAACTCTCAGTAGGATTTTGTCTGCTCTTGTTTGTTTAATAAATTGTTAAACACTACCTGGCAGCCTGCCTGTCTATGGCTGCATTCTGGGTCACAGTGAAACTATGCAGTTATCGGTAATGCAGTGATTATCATTCAGTAATGAAGAGCCTTTTCAGCATTGCCATGGTTTCCTTATAGCAACATATTGGAACTGATAGAAATATGAGGATGGTGGTTATATTTCAGGGTTTTTTACTGCCTTCATAAAATTGGCATTTGAAGGGTAATACTGGTGTTTTTAGACAGCTGTGGCAGTAATTAGGGTTGCAGCGGTATACCGGTTTCACAGTATACCATGGTATGAAAATTATTATCATACCATCCACATTTGCCTATTACCGGTGTTGAAGAAAAGGTTGTCAGATTCCGCAAAGGGCACCACATGCACACATGCAGCAGACAATTGGCAAAGAGGAGGAGGCTGGTTTCACAAATGAGGCAATGGATAAATGCAAAAAAAAATCACCAGTAGATCAATCCCTAATGAAAATAATCAGTAGTTGCACTTGAATACAAAATAGTTCAACAGAGCTCCACCTCAACCAGCCACAACAGTTACGTCCTGCTGTTACAGAATGCTTACAACTAAAGAGGTAAAACAACATTTTAGGAGAGCATATTTTAGGCAACCATCTTGACCAGTATCTACGGTATATAAAGTGGGAGTCAATATCAGATTGTTTTTCAGAAAGTATTTTTAAAAAATGGAAGCATTTCCTCTAGTTATTTTATCGAAAAATGTGTTTTGGATGCTTTTAGATGACTGACAAGTGCTTCATCTGAATCACACTGATGCAAACTTTTAAAGGAAGCCGCCAAAACCTAAATTGTGATAATGATGCTGATGATGGTCTGTCTTCTCTTTCAGTGCCTAGCTGTGTGGGAGTTGTTCCTCCTGTCTCAGAGAGTGGAGCCCAGGAAGGAGCTAGACGAGGAAGATGTTTCTTAAAGTGTGGAGATTCAAATTGACAGAAAGCACACCATCTCTTGTCTGTTCACCAGAGCCTGTCCATAAAATATAGACTGCACTCTAGTAAACCTCCATAATGTATGAAACAAGCACACTATCGCTCTCTGTGTCTGTCTCGCTTTCCTTCTTTCTTTCTGTCTGGCCAAAGAGGTTAATTCGAGTTTCACCTTAGACAGCACCAAAAATCTCTGTGATCCAAATTATACACCTCCATGTACATGTCCAAAATTTGAAGAAGATTCCTACTTCTGCTGTAATCCATGTCAATGACATAGGAGAACATTTTCTTCAGTTGTTAATGGAGAAAAGCTGTGTACCATTGCATGGGATGCCTCCTTGAAAATATGCAGTTTGGCATCATCTCAAATTCTTACCCATTATTTCACAGAAATAAAACTAATGATGCATTCAGGTCTCCCCCTTTCAAATTCATCAGCTGGAATTTTGCACTTTACCTCCAGGAAGTTGCACTGACAGCTGACAAAGCATAAGTGATAAACTACTGTACAAGTTCCATCAGAGAGGGGTCTAAAGGTTCCAGAGATTAAGCATGTGGATTTGAAACTATAGATAGATTAAACCAGGCTGTGTTTAACGAGGGAGAACAGCTGGCTGTGGATGTCGTCGGGCAGTGAAAGCAACACTTTGAAGAACTCCTCAATGCAACTAATGTGCCATCCAATGAGGAGGTAGAGGCTGAAGACTCAGAGGAAGTCTCAATCATATCTTTGGTAGTTTAGTTGAGAAGCTCCTCAGCAGCAGAGCGCTGGGGGTTCATCATATTCGTCCTAAGACACTGAAGTCTGTCTTGTGGGGCTGCCTTTTCAGTGTTACATGGAAATGGGGACAGTGCCTGTAGCCTGGCAGTCTGGAGTGATGGTCCCCATGTTTAAAAGGTGGGGCTGGAGTGTGTTCTAGTTATCAGGGTATCACGCTGCTTATCCTCCCCAGTAAAGCTTATGCCAAGGTGCTGGAAATGAGGCTCCCACAAGATTGGCAGATTCAGGAAGAGCTGGCTGTGGAACCGTGGACCAACTCTTTACCCTTGCAAGGCAACTGGAGTGGCAAGAGAGAGCTTGTCCATCCAGTCTGCATGTGTTGTGTGCACTTGGAGAAGTGTAACTGGGTTCCTCAGTTGCTCTTGTGGGGAGTAATGCATCCCAGCCCTCACCTACGGTCATGAGCTTTGGTTAGTCACCAAACGAATGAGATTGTGAATACAAAAGGCTTAAAAGAATTTGAAACCTAGATTGTTTACATCCCTGTATGCATATCGCCATCCACAATTGTGGAGTAGCATGAAACCATTGGCAGCACTGTATATCGCACATTCATTGGTGTCTTTGTTTGTGTGTACAAGATGCAAAGAAAACAAGCATCCACTAGTAAAATATTGTTCCTTAGCACTAATAAAAGTCAAAAACTTAACAAGGTACTTGTTACATTTGGACTCCATGTTCTGCTTTTGCTGTATATTTATTGTATATTGCAGTTTGTTTTCAGAAAATCGCTTTTAAATGGTTTTTTTATACTTTGTATGTTAAAACAATTCTATGGACATGTAAGATGATAGACATGCAGTACATCAGGTGTGAAGTATTGGTAGTGTTTGTTTACTGAGTTCATTCAGAGACTTGAGCATTTCTCTATACTTAATTTATAGGTAGAGGCTCAGAGTTTGCCAGTTGTTTTGAGAAAAATATTTGAGGACTCAGTGATAGCAATTATTGTTCCAATAAAACACGCATTAGTACTAGTACTACAGTGTTCAATTTTGAGCAGTCAATTTTTATTGGAATTAAATTGCACACATAAAACAACAAAAGTGACAACATGAATTACCCAAGACATTCAGTGCTTTTTCAGTGACTCACATATTTAGATAGATATCTCATTTCTTGGAGCCTTTGGACAGCGCATGCTGGGTAATGGAGCATCTTCTCTCAGGTGGAGGGAGGATTCATAATTAGCCAAATGAAAAACTCATTATGACTAGTGTAGCAGAGAATGGATGTTCTATTCTAGACCCAAGTGTGCCAGTGCTGTGTGACATACTCGGTGTAATAGAATCAAGCATGGCAGTATTGAACTGCCTCCTGAAGCCCTGCAGGCATGAGTCTGAGTGTAAATGTGCACACGTGCAGTAAACACACACAAATTATTAATGTATTTAACAATGCATGCCCTACTTCTGTCTCCTGCCAGCATGGGTAGGGACTATGGGGTGTGATAATATGGTTTTATGTCGCATCTAATCCTGTTTTATAGAAATTAGAAGTACACAACAACCTGGTGTACGCCACCTCTTGCCCAGTGTCAGCTGGGATTGGCTCCAGCGCCCCCACGACCCACTTCAGGATAAGTTGTATAGATGATGGATGGATGAATGTACACAGCTCTATAAGAACAGTCAGTAGATAGTCCAATAATACAAACTTGAAACAAGCTTTGCCATAAGGTTAAGTTAAATACAGCATTTTAAAAATACAATTTCAAATGATGTATTAACAGAAAAGCTAACACTTCATCCTAAACCATTTCTGCTCTACTGTTGCACAGCATATAGCTAAAGATTATTGCCAGCATTTCCTTACAAAATACACGAGCCTGTGTCTCAAACCTATTAAAACAGTGCGATCCCGCTGTAACTATTATCCCTATAAAATTACATTTTCTCATGAATAATAATGGAAATGTAACCAGATATTTCTATGTGAATTCTTTGTGACACCATATGGAATATAAAAAACATAAGTAGGAGCAATGTCAATAGATTTTAATTTCCCCACTAAGGTCCTTGCAGTGCTCATGTGTAGGGTGGCATCACCAGAACTGTTCAGTGACTTCATGATCAAGTCAAGTCAGTTTTTATTTGTATAGTCCAATGTCACAAATCACGAATTTGCCTATTTGTAACAGTACATAACCCCCTCTGTCCTTCACCTTTAATTCAGACAAGGAAAACTTACCCCCAGAAGCCCTTTAATGAGAGGGGGGATGTGTGGAAGAAACCTAGGGAAGAGCAACAGAGGAGGGATCTCTCTTCCAGGAGTGAAATAGATGTTGTGCACAGAATAGATCAACAGTATGGACAAGACTGAAACACCTCAGCTTAACCAGGTCATTGAGAGCTGATAAATTATTGGATGGAATGCTGTATTATCCCTATCCCACCATCTTGTCTTTTTCTGAATCACAGAATTTGTTCTTTAAAATGGATTCAGCCTGCAAAGGCTGATGGCCTGGCCTGCTCTTTCTATTTCTGACATCATTTGAGTGTTGCATCCCACGCACTGTGCCCTGAGGCCAATGAAGATCCAGACTCACAGTCTGTGTGATATAATATGGCTTAATGACTGCAGCCCACTCCTGTGGCTACAGTGGCATCACTACTTCACCCACCATGTTATCTTTTTTTTTCATCAGCCTGCCTGTACCTTGTTTATGATGAATATTATTCATGTGTAAGTGTAATTTTCTGTGTGGATTCTGTCCCTCCAGTTGCTGTAATGCGCCATCTGTCCTTGACTAGACTGTGGAGAGATTTGATTTTGATTTATTCTTTCAAGCATGTAAAGACAGTTGATATGTCAACACACATAATTTTACACATATCCAACAAATGCTAATCCAATATCAATTTGCTTATACCTAATACATGCTTGAATGGAGTAGGAAGAAGTCAGACTTATCCAGTCCTACCCCATGACATCATCTTACATCATTGGTTTGCAAGCGGTATCTCTACATAAATAATTATCTTCTACACCACACAAGTAATATACTAAAAAAATT